ACAGACCGGCCGCTCACTGGCTGAGCGCGGGGCGGGAGCAACACCGAGGGTTGCGATCCCGTGGCCGGTCCTGGTCCGGTACGGGCGCGACACTGAGGGTTGCGATCCGTTGCCGGTCACGAAAAAAGACAAAAAGGGAAAAAAAAAAGTCAGCATAAATATTTCCTAATTACCTACTTCAATATTCAGTTTCTATTTTTCATTCCCTTAGATTTTGCTCAGGATTTCATGTGATTTCATGATTAAAAGAGCCCCTAATATTTTGAAGATTTTATTTCATTGATATTGAACCTTGGATTGGATCCATTCAAAAGCACAGATCACTAACTTCTATAGAATGTAAAAGTCCAAATACTTCTACAGAAATTTATCTTTGCTTCCTTAAAATCCAGTAGCTGATGCAGATATATTTCACTTCGCTAATTTTCTATTACAAAAGAAACTCATGCGTTACCTGGCCATTCTAATGTCTTTTTCGACCATTGCCTTGGCCAACTCAATGTGAATATCCATGGGTTGCAATACATGCATAGTTGATGGATGCTGAAATCGACACTTTTCCCAGTTTTCCTCTTTAAAAAAATAATTTAAAATATTAAATGACTTTTTAAATTATCAGATATTCTGTGGAAAACTATTCTAAGTTATTAGAAAATAGTTAAACAGATTCAATGAATACCAATTTTTACTTCTTTCAGCATACAAATTAAATAACCTATATTTTTACAATATATATTGACAGGAATTTTCATTCCTGTGATTCAAAAATAATCCTAAATACAGTCATGCATTGCCTAACGACATCTCAGTCAATGAGGGGCCACATATACCACAATGGTCCCATAAGATTATAATGGAGCTGAAAAATTCCTTTTGCCTAGTGAGCCTCTAGTGCAACACCATTACCCTCATGTTTGTGGTGATGCTGGTGTCAACAACCTTAACTGTAAAATTTGTTGAGGAGGAGTGCCTACCTTACCCTACGAGGTGACCCTCCCAAGGTAGCTCAGACCTTTAAGACAGAAAGCCAAGCACGTGACATATTAGGTTCGACCCCAAGTGAAAGGGCTGTTGTCTACTTTAGAATTCTTGCATTTTTAAATGATTCCCACCCATCACCATAGCAAAATAAGAGTTAACTAACACTCACTGAGTACTTGCTTAGTGCCACGCACAATCCCTACCTGCAATTTAATTTTCATAACTTTGTGGGGGTGGAATTACTCTAATCCCCTTTTAACATATAAGGAAAGTGAGGCACTGAGACTTAGTAACCTAATTAGAAGGCCCACACTCATGCAACTAGCAGCTAGAGTAGATAATAGGAAAATTCATTGCTATTCCAATTCATAATACACTTTCACACAACAACAAAATCGTCTGATGACGCATTTCTCAGAATGTGTCCCTGACATCAGTCACTTGACGGTATCTGGAGACTGTTCATATAATATCTTGCATTTCAAAGCAAACAGGGAAAAAAAACTCCACGAATTTATTACGCTGATTCCATAATTAGCAATCAAGGTGGGTGGTTACAGTGAAGGGGGGTGGGGGAACAAGGGAAAAATAGGAAAAAAAACAGAGGAAAAAAAGAGGTTCATGGGGTTCCTAAACGCAATAATTACACCAGCTTAGCACATAATCCCCCCAAAAATGAGTTTTATCAAGATTTTATGACCAAAAAAAAAATCACTTTTCTTCAAATAAAGTCCCAAAGACAAATTTTCCAATGGCTAACAGAGTCCTATGCAGACCTTTACTGATGGCAATGACTGACCATC